CCGGCGCTTGGGGCGCGGGTCAGTGAGGGGGTCCGCAGGGAGCCGGCGCCCGGAGCCGCGCCTGGGAGAGAGCGGACGGTTGGTGGGTGCGCCAAGGCTTCACCCAGGGTCTTCCCTTTGCCCTCCTGGCGCCCCGGCCCGGCGGGTGCTGTGCGGGCCCCGCGCCCTGGCGAAGTGCCGAGGCTCGCCTCCGGCCTCAGGGTCAGCACAGATCCGCGGTGGCACCTGCTACCCTCCTGCTGGCCGCCCGGGTCCCGACAGTCGCGGAAGTCCTCGAGGGTTGGCCCCTCGTTGGTAAAGGGAAGGTGAGGGCCATACTACGTCACGGGATTGGAATACGACGGAGTGTGACAGCGCCGGGCACATCGCAGGGCCCTCGGTGAACGGTGGGTAAATCAATGGCCATCGTCCATTGAGCTGCAGCCAGTAAGTACTAGCGAGGGGGGTCCAAGGGATGGACTGGGGGCGGAGAACAACACGGCCACGGGGCTTCATTTTGGTGGAGAAAACAGCCCCCCCCCAAAAAAAAACCCATGTCATCACACGTTGTGACAAATGCAGTGAGAAACAGCTAAGGGGGATAGAATAAGAGGGACTGTCAGCATTTTGTGTCCACTCCCTCCTGATAACAGAGCATCATTTCACCTCTTTTTCTCCCCCCCCCCCACACCGCCCTCTCCCAGAGTTCCTGACACCCATTTCCATTTAAATAGCACCCAAGCCTCCCGTGTCCCTGGGGTCCCAGTCAGCACCTGCCAGGGCCCTGTCCTTCCTTCACTGCGCCCCTTGCAGGTTGACCTACCCATCTGCCTCTCCGGCTCCTGGGGTTCAGGAAACCTTCCCCTGACCACCAAAGTGAGTCTTGGTGTCTCACAACCCCCCAGCTCCACCTCAAATTTTACACGTGAAAACTTTGACAGAGATTTTCAAAGATAATCTAGCAGCAAATTTTAAGCACAAATCACACAAGCTGTGAATTCCTTCTGCCACTTCCCGTTCCCTCATGTGTAAAATGGGGATGATAGCAGTTTCTAAGGCATGATGGTATACTGAGGATTTGATGAGATAAAGCCTGGTGCCTGGCTCACTGTAAACACTGAATAAACTAGATCTTCCTGTATTTTCTCCTTCGTTATTCTCTTGAGTAAGCCTCTTCTCAAAGATAAGCCATGAGGTTGACCCGCAGATTGTAACAAGGGCCCTGAGCCAAATATTTGAGAGTCTGTTGGGTACAAGGCACTGGTGATGAGGTGACAGAAGACACATCAGAAACAGCTCCATCGGGCGCCTGGGTGGCTCAGTTGGTTAAGCGACTGCCTTCAGCTCAGGTCATGATCCTGGAGTCCTGGGATCGAGTCCCGCGTCGGGCTCCCTGCTCGGCGGGGAGCCTGCTTCTCCCTCTGACCCTCCTCCCTCTCCTGCTGTCTGTCTCTCATTCCCTCTCTCAAATAAATAAAATCTTTAAAAAAAAAAAAAAAAAGAAAAAAGAAACAGCTCCATCCTCAAAGCACCATCTCTTGACAGTCAAAAGGCATATTAACATATTAAAGGCTCTGAGAAGTCCTGCAGTACCCATACCTGTTTCATTTTCTTGAACCCAGTATTTCCTAAACTGATTGGGTCAAGAGACTTTGGGTTTTGAGGCTCCTTGGCCCTCAGTGGTGTTCATCAGTAATTCTGGTGCTCCTCTTTTGGGCAAAAGGTAGGGTTGTATTTTCCCGCCCCCATCCACGTCACTTGCTTTGGTCAGCAGGTTGTAGGCAGAAGAGATAGGTATGTCTGGATGACAACCTTAGAGCACCATATTCCTTTCTCCCTGTTGCTGTGATCGGTGACCCTCCAGATGGAAGGACAGTTTCAGGCTGGGCCAGCCAAGTCTGGTGGACATATAGTATGAGAAATAAATCTTCTGGGGGAGTCTTTGTTAAATGCAACATAACCCAGCCTATCCTAACTGATCAAATCACCTAGTGAGACCTGCAAGGACGCCAGCTTTTGAGAAAACTTGGCTTACACAGTGTTGATCTGGCCCCATCAGTAGTAGAAACGCAGTTCGGTGACCACACTGGTTCCCTTAATAAAATCAAACCTCAGGCTCAGAGGTTGTAAGGAAGGGACACTGGGTCTTCCCACAGGTGCCCACAGAGGTCACTCACCTCTTAGTTTGGGACACCCTGTGGCATGGGCTCTAGGGAGTGGGCTGGGGACAAGAGGCTAGATTCCAGAGGCCTTAAGTGGAGGTGGACACAGCAGGATGGGGACCAGCTGGAGGGGGCAGGGTCAGACGGGGAGAAGGCGCTCAGTGAGTCCCTGGGTCCTGGCTCAGGCGACTTGGAAGTTGACAGATACAGGGCAGCTCTGCACAGAAGGAGTTATGTTGAGGTGCTGAGTTATGGCAAGGAATATCCAGGTGAAGGTGACCGGGTGGGCTTGCCCCTCACCTGAGCCAGAGACCGGGTCCTCAGAGTGAGCCCCCCCGCCCCAGGAGCGCTGTGAACTTGTATAGGAGGCAAGGCTGAGCCTTGGTGACAAGCCCAGCACTCAGGACAGTCTGGGGTCCCAGAGGAAGGAGAGGGACTCTAGGGAGTGGGGAGTTCTGGTCCAGTGTCCAGGACAGAGCATGTGGAGAGCACCTGGCTGGTGGGGCCATAAACCTGGGGGGAGGGGGGCAACGTTTGAAGGAACTTGTCTGTGAGGGAAGGAAAACAAAAGCGGGGCTCCTGAGAGAATGTAGAGACAACGGAAAATGTTTTCAAAGTCACATTTATTATGAGTTATTTCCCAATGAAGGTAATAAATATTTACCACAGAAATTTGAAAACCACCTACAAGCACAACAAATGGGCTGTAATTACAGATAGTGGTGTAATGACATCCACTGTCAGTACTGGGGTGTATACGTTCTCCACCTTTCCTCTGTACACACATACACACCCACAATTTCGGGTGTTTCTAAATAAGATGAGGCTCCCGCTCTGCACCAGGTTTTGTTACCTGTTCACCAAATAAAGACTGTTGCTCCCTGGCATTTACTAGACCACACAGTTACTATTCCTGACAGTGGAGTGTCTTCTGGAGCATAAATGCGCCAGATAAAGGAGTTTTGTTTGATACGGTGGTAGGAACTGAAGAACGTTGTTGTGTGCTGATCAGCAACCTCAGCAGAGCTGGAGAGGTGTGGGGCTGGGTGGCATTAACGCGCAGGTGGGGAATGGAGCCTTGGCCATTTCTAAAAGAACAGTATCCTTCTTTGTCTTTGCACACATATTTTAAAAAAATTATAAAACACATGCTCATTGTGAGGTGGAACCAATTCAAAAAGTAGTAAGAAAAGCAGTTGCACCTAATCCTACCAGCTGTTGACATAATTCCTTCCTTATGGTGATCAGAGAACTAGCGTACATATGGTCTATGCAGAAATATGGCAGTTATTGGAAATACAGCTGAAGCGTGCTCCTAGCTGCTGACCAGTGCTGCGCTTCTGACAGAAGACAGCTGATCAGGGAGCTTGGGAATCAGGGGCTCAGGGGAAGGTGTGAGGAAGGTGTGAGGTGGGTGTCAGGCCTGGTCTCCCCCACCCCTAGGCCAGCTCAGCAAGGAGCAGGGTCCTGCTCTGGGCTTCAGGCGGCTGGGAGAGCCTGCCTCTCACCAGCTCTTGCCTCCTTGAGGAGGCGAGCGCTATCAGAACGGGAGCCTCAGTCCCCATGTCCCCGAGACACAAGGACCCAGCAAGGAGCCGCAAAGGGGGGGTTCTGTGTGCTGGGCGGTGGCCCCATATGCTCACAAGGAGCCTGCTCCTAGGAGTCCATAATCTCATGGCAGCTCAAGGGAACAGGCTCACCTAGAGGCTGCCCCTAGAACCACATCTCTCTCTTTAAGGGTCTGTCCTTGTAAGAAAGTGCTGTGTCTGAACTCGCTGGTTCTTCAACTCCCAGCGTACTGACTCGCTACAGGTGAGAGATGCAGCTTGCTGTGCCAATGTTGAGGATTTTGAGCTTATCACTGCTTCCTTTTGGTTACACTCAAATGCACAAATAAGAAAAACAGCACAGTTCACCTGCAGTCACTTTACTCTGTGCTTGCCAACGAATCACACCTGGGGAGAAGGTAGGTCCCCGTCTCTTGCTTGTCTCCATTAAGGCTCTGAGAGTACAGAAGTGGGCAGGGGATGTTGAGAAAAAAGGGGCGCAGGCCACAAGCCCTTCTGTTGTGCTGGGCTACTGCCTGGGGGCCCATGATGTCTATATGTGCACTGAATTCTATTTTTTCGTAAGGCTTATTAATACCTCCCTGATTCACATACAATGCAACAGATAATAAGACTCCTTTATATTTTATACAAAACTCTTATCAAATATTTAAGCTAGGTCAAAAAAAGTGTTCCAAAATGTAAATAATTGAGCATCTTTTAATGGCCCACGAGTGTCAGTGCCCTCGTTGGAGAAGGCTACCACCCCCTCCCGCGCCACTGACCACTTCCTGTCTGGGGAAACAGGATCACGTTACTCTTCCTTCCAAACCCCAAGACTGCACAAAGGGCAGCCCAACCCCCAGCCATAGGTACCCCCACCCGCACCCCCACCCACCCCCAACCCATCACAACACAGGCTATTCCAGGAACATTGCACTGGGAGGGCGGGAAGACAGTTGGCAGTGGCCCCTCCATCCTGGGCTTCCTGGTGTCATTTCCCAGCCAACCAAGCTAACAGACCCAGATGCTTAAATGTTAGACTTCCTTAAGCTCTAGACCACCACATACACCAAAAGTAGCTTCCTAGCTTTTCCTAAAAACACTAGATTGCTTTTGGTTTCAGTAAACTATAAATTCAGCACAGAGGCAGGACCCCGTGTGTCACAGACATCAGGGCATCGAATGCCAGTGTGGACGTAGCTACAGAGAGATCAGGAAGTACCTGCGAAAGAATGTCCTAGACTTGTCTCCTCATGAACGCTTCTGCATGAGGAGTGGGAAAGGAGGAGTCCCTCCCAGCTCCGGCCCCCCAAAGCCAGGCCAGACAGGACAGGTTTGCCAAGCAGCCTCAGCTCCGGCCCCTACTGGACAGCAGGGAAGGTAGCAGTGCCTTCATAAGTCCCTCAGGGAAGGCTGTTGGCCGCTTGCTGGTGTCTGGGATCTGAAACGAGTGAAGAATACTAACTCAGCCACTGGCCTTCATCAGCAAGGATGGATGGACGCCACCAGCCAACGCCAAGTGCACCTCTGGGCACTGCAGGGTGGTGGTGTCCAAAGCCACGGCGCCTTCCACCCTTCCGTGCTGGGCTGATGTCACCACCCTGGGGTTCTAAGCTGGTGGCCCTCCAGCCGCCTGGACCCCTCCCACTGGACATCCACAGGCACAACAGAGCCCATCAGCTTCCTCCACACAGACCAGCTCGCCCACTGGCCTGCACTACCATCCCCAGGCCACCTCCTTCTGACCAGCTGCCCCACTCCCTCTGAATGCAGGCAGACCCAGGGCTCGCAACTGGCATCTCCTGGCCCTAGAGCCTATGAACACCTCAGTCCCACGGGTTCTAGTGAGACCAGGCCCTCCTCATCCTTGCCTGGACCAGGGCAATTGCCCTCTTGCTGGTGAGCCTGCCACCCGAGGGCCCAGTGATGAGGGCTCCTTCCCATGCCACTAGAATCATTGCCCAGTGCAAACCAGACCCTTCCACTGCCCTACTTTGAATCCTTCCATGTCTGCCAATAGCACTGAGACCCCATCTCCTGAGTGCCCACCATGTGGCCAGTACCATGCCAGGGGCTCCCCAAAGCCTCAAAAAAACCCAGTGAGGAGATGAAGAACACCCGCGCAGAACAGGTGAGACCGTCAAGGCCCACGATTTTCAGGATTAGACCCACCCCTTGTAGCTGCAACCAAGCCCTTCTTGCTCTGAATCAGTTTTCAGAATTCAGAAGCAGCGGCATCCCAGGGGCCATGGTAGCGACAAAGGATGCTGGGTTCCACCCCCAGGCACCCCGCCCCCCAGACTGCGATTCAGCCAGTGTGGGGTCAGACGAGAATCTGCATAAATAGGCACCCCCCAACCCGCAGATGAAAGGTCCCTGCCAGACCCACACACCCACAGCCAAATCATTGACCTGGAAGTGGGGAAGATCTGTGTCATCACTCGCGAACACACACTCAAGGTGAGCCACTGCAGCCACCGGATGTCCTTGGGCATATCTGGAAGCCACATCACCAGTCTGCAGGAATAAAACCAGGAGACACACACATACACTTATCCGCATGAGAACAAGCCAACACACACACACACACACACACACACACAACCAAAAACTAAACAAAAGGCAGGTATCTTAAAACAATGTCCTTTGTCCAGCTAAACCGCCAGACTCACATCTAATCCCAATCTGATCAATCCCGGAAGGTGGATTAGGGACATGACACCAAAGACAAACCTCCCTAAAAGCCCTAAAGCAAAGTTAGGTCATGTGGGGCTCTGGAAAGCTCAAGGGATACTCGTGGAAATAAAAGGGGAACGGTTTCCAGGCTTCTCCTCTGTGGCAAGGTACCCGCTGAAGCTTATGCAGAGAATCTCAGAGTCAAGGTAGCACCTCCCCTCCCCCCAAGCCCTGTGGCACTGGGCCATGTGCCAGCCCAGCGGACTCCCCACCCCCCACCCCTACACAAAAGGACCCATGTGGTGAGCTCTGTAAATGCCTGACCAGACCTCACCCCAGGGCAGGGGTGTTGGGAGCAGGCGGCTACTTCGGTAAGAGTGAGGAGGGGATCTGGGCAGGAGAATCAAGCTGGATTCTGAAGGATGATTTGGCCTCTAAAAGATGGACCAAAGGCCATGCTGACTGACTCACTAAAAAGACCGTAAACACTAACATAAATCTAAAGAAAGCAGAGGTTAAATACCCAGGATTCAAGTGTGTGCCTCGTGTCCTCCCAACACCCCAGGAATAAAATCCCAAAATGAAAGTGTACAACTACTAAGAAGTGGCAAACAAAAACAGCATGGAGAAAAGAGGTGGGCTGAGCGGGGTCCCCATGAGGCACTTTCCAGGGTGCTCCTTATGGACCGTGAGCTCCATCGCACTCTACAAGGAGCCAGGCCACAGGTCAAGGCCCTTACGTGGACTCTCTCAATCTCCACCCAACCCCAGGAGGAAAGCACAAAACCACATAAAACGCTCACCTCTGAGGGGTGCCTGGGTGGCTCAGTTGGTTAAGTGACTGCCTTCGGCTCAGGTCATGATCCTGGAGTCCCTGGATCGAGTCCCACATCGGGCTCCCTGCTCAGCGGGGAGTCTGCTTCTCCCTCTGACCCTCCCCCCTCTCATGTGCTCTCTCTCATTCTCTCTCTCTCAAATAAATAAATAAAATCTTTAAAAAAAAAAAAACCGCTCACCTCTGGACCACAGCAATGGCAGACTCCACAGGCAGCGTACAAGGAAGCATCACATATGACATTACCTTGATCGGTAAGAAGTTGCAAATCTTGCTCACGTATCCATGTTGGTTTTTAACTGCTTTACTCAGTGCTGAAAAATACAATGTGCAGTTGTTATCTCCCACCAGGGTAAAAACCAAACCACCTTCCTGAGGGGCTGCTTGGATTTTCTATGAAATACACAAATCCCAGGGTGCCTGGGTGGCTCAGATGGTTAAGTGTCTGCCTTCAGCTCAGGTCATGATCCCAGGGTCCTGGGATCGAGCCCCGCATTGGGCTCCTTGCTTAGCAAGGAGCCTGCTTCTCCCTCTGCCTGCCACTCCCCCTGCTTGTACTCTCCCTCTCTCTCGCTGGCAAATAAATAAAATCTTAAAAAAAAAAAAAAAATACACAAATCCCAGCATCTGAAGAATCAAAAGCACTCACAAATGAGATCAAATGAGGAGTATGCCCAGAACAGCCCTCAGATAGCCCGCAGGACACAGGGTTCTCAGTGAACCACTCTCGTTTAAATAACTATTTTTGGAGGGCTACACAAACTTCTCGAATACCCCATCGACTTCTGAGCTTTTTCCCTGAACCTTCCGCTGGACTGTGTCTCCTTCTGCCCAGAGCCATCTGTCCTGTTAGTTCCCTTTTGTAATGACCTCCTGATGCCCCAAATCACATTCGCCCCAACAGCTGTTGGCTAGTGCAGTTAACAGAGGTGCCAGTGCCCTGGGGCAAGGGATGACGTCCCGTCCGTCTCTGAACTTCTCCAAGTGCCCAATTGGAAGCTGGTATGTGCATGCCTGTCCACCTAATAGTTGATCACATGATAAAGTATATCACCACTCAATGGTGATTCAAAATTGCAGCTCTGGAGGCAGGGAGAAATCAGAGAAAGGGGGCTCCTCAAGAAAGAAGGCTTTGAGATGGGTGAACAGGCAGAGAGGGGTTCTGGAAGAACAGGCCCACCCCTGTGGGCCCCCCACCCCCACTCCCATCATGTAGTGTGTCCGGTTCACTCAAAACAGGCTCAGCTGGAGTCTGCTCTCCTCTGGCCATGACCCCATGGGAAAGGAGACTGAGCACAGGCCTGTACCAGGAGTGGGGGCCCCAACAGGCCTGCCCTCTCGCTCTGCCCCACCTCCCACATGAGGATTACCTTCCTCCACAGCACCTAGAGAAAAAGCCCTTTCAGTCTCTGTCTCTCTCTTTCTCTCTCTGTGTCATAGGAAAACCACCTCCTTTGTCAGCCCGCCCCTCTGTGGAGTGAGCACCTGCAGTGAGCTTGGGCGACAGGGTGTCCAGGATGCTCTCATCCCAGGGCAGGATGCTGCGACGCAGGTGGTCCAGCAGCTCGTCTCCCTCAGGCTTCGTCCGCCCCGTAGCCACCCTCAGGGGAGATTCCAGGCTCCTGTGTCCCCAGGTGAATTTAAGGGTCTTCAACTCCTCTGAGGGTAAATTCAGGCATGGATGGGGCCTGTTGCAGATGCCTACCAAGGACACAGGAAACCGACCACCAAGTGAATGTGGGCAACAGGGGGTCATTATTCACGCAGCCGCCCACCCGCAGAATGACAGGAACCCAGCAGGCAAGCGCCCAGGAAGCTGCAGGCCTGTTATGGGCTAAGCAGGAGGTGGGGAGAAATGAGGGCGGGCGTTCGGGCTTGTGTAAGAGAGAGAAACGAGCGTAGGGTTTTGAAGCTGGAGACATGTGCGTTTGGCTCCGGCTCGTCACTCACTAGCTGTGTGCACTCCACAGCCACGGGTGGATTTATGAAGGTGAAAGATAAGAATTACAACTCATTTATAATAACTGGGCCACTGGTGAAGCCCGTATTCCAGGCCCTGAGTTAGGAACTTCGTAACAATTACGACCACTCCCACTGGTCTCCGCCCCTCCACTTCAGCAGAGAAATCAGAAGCACAGAGAGGTTAAGAGACTCACCCAAAGCCACACAGCCAGTGAGTGGAAGAGCGGAATTCGACCCCAGGTCTGACATTAAGGGTGACACTCTTCCGCTGTGGGGCTTTGAAAACAGCACCAGGTAAGGGAGTTTGGGCAGGCCCCGCCACTCCAGTTACACGTGCCTGCTTTCCCTCCTACAACCTTACTACGTGCTCTGTGGCCTGCAAGCCTCTCACTCATGTCCCCCGTGCCTAGAACACTCCCATTCATCTCAAAGTTGCAACAAGGATTCACATCCTCCTGAAGCCCTACCTCCCCCCACCCGGGCCATGCAGATCTCTCCCGTGTGATACCACAGTGTCCCGTAGCTTCCTATCAGGGCACTTGGCACACGCCGTCCTTCCACTTGCTTCTCTGCTCACCTGACCCGCAAGCTAAGCTCCCAAGGGACAAAGACCACATCTGCCTCTTCCCCGTGGTATCCCTGGCACTGAGCCAATGGCTTAGCACCTTAAAGGTGCACAAGCAACAATTTCCCAGTCGAAAAATACATGTATGTCCTTTAACCACCACTCCTTGGTCTTGGCCAAAGACTAATTCAGAGAAGCAGTAGGGAAACCAACTTTTAGCCTTAAAGACAATCCATCTAATACTGGCGAGAGCCCAATTCCCAGCGCCCAGACCCGCTGATGACCCAAAGGCAGGAACCTGCCCCAGAAAGGACAGCTGGGCTCATGGGTGTGACCCACACCTGGCCAGAGACAAGGATTCTGCTTGCTCCACTTGGGGCTCAGGGCCAGAAACCCTGCTTAAACTCCCTCCCTTATTTATCTAAAGATTCAAAATAGTTCATGCAGCAAAGAAAAACTAACAGGACTGCCTTCACTGTTCAGACAGGGGATTACTGAGGGAGGAGAGAGCCGTGGGGCGGGGATACCCCGCGGCCGAGCCCCAGCTCTGTTCCTCGGTGGGGTCCCCGGCTCACCGCCGTCTCCCCATTTGGAAACTGGGGCCAAGATTTCCTATCTCCCAGGGAATGAAGGGGCTGAGCAAGGTGCCAAGTGAAGACGCTGAGCGCTGAGTTTCTACCCAACATCAGGCTCCAGTGACTGCTAGCGAAAAGCTTGTTAAAAGGCCGGTCTACCCTCACCGCGCCCGTACGTACCGCTCTCCTCCAAGAACCTCAAGGCGTCTAAGTACCCACGAAGGCAGATCTCGCCAAGCACCTGGCAACAAACCAAATACGGTAACTGCAGTGTTGAGACCAAGAGCAGAGCCCTCCCCGCTGGCAGCTGCTCCCATGGCCCAGCACGGCCACGGCAAGGCTGGACGACAGGACTCCGGGCTCCTAAGAGACAGAAGTCCACTTCCACATGGGACTAGGTTCGAACGACACCCCCTCCGTGAAGACTTTGCTGGCAGCGCAGCATGACAGGCGCTGATTTCCCTAGGCTCCCTTGGTCCCTGCACGAGCCTCCACCCTCACAAATATGGAGGCTTGTGCTAGTTGTCACGGGACAATTAACAGCGGCCTCCTCCACTCGTCTGGACACAAACCACACATGCAAACCAATGCACAGCCTCCCCTCTCTCCTGGAGTACATGCTGTTGGGGTACAGCTTACACACTGCCTTCCTTCTCCCTGGAGAACCATTAGGATACATGGTTCACACCTTTTCTTTTTATTAGGGAGATAAGACCTCCTACAACAACAATCAAGAAAGATTAAACCACCAAATGCAGTGTGGTTCTTGACCACACTTGCAAATACGAATCCTCAGGATACCTCCAAAAAAAAAAAAAAAATCGCACGGCCTAGGCCGCACCCCAACTACTTAAATCATAGCCCGGGGATGTGGAATCTGAGCTGCCGGGCTGTTTAAATCTTCCCAGGTGATTCCAATGGGCAGAGTGGGGCAGCCCTGAGCTGCCGGGACCAGAAACTCTGAGTTCCTATTCGATGAGGGGGATCTGTTTCTGTTTGTGGAAAGGACAATTGGGAGCTATCCTGGCAAACAAGGAAGCAAAGAAGAGCTGCACCCCCAGAACACACAGCCCCCAACTCACCTTGAGATCCGGAGGGAACAGTGCTTGCATTAGCAGGTAGACATTCTTGGAGCAGAGGCGCAAACTGAGCTTGGTTAGGTCCACGTGAAGAAAGTTCGTCGACGTGACTTTAGGGCAGATGTCATACTCCCCGTAGAAGGGGGACACAGTGATGGTTGTTTTGGCATCAAAGAAGGGGACATTGTCACTTACTCCTCCATCCACGTATCGCTTTTACGGGGAGGAAGAAAGGACATACTGTCAGAAGCTCTGGGTGAGTGTCTTCTGTGCTTTTTCCGATTATGGGTAGAGCCTTCTCAGAGCCGCAGGCTGATATTGTGGGAAGACAAGGTTCCAGAACTACTCTTTCAACAAAGCTTTCCTGAGCATTTCTATGCCAGGCCAGGCTCTGGGCTGGCACTCAAGTGTGCTATATACTGTTGTGTAGTTTGTGCACTGCACAAAAAGTACCTGGCAAAGAGGCAGACAGAGACTGGAGCCCAGGCCATAGTTTGCTGGCCAATCTGAAGCCCAGGCGGGTACCTCTAGGTGCGCCCGTGTAATCTGCACAAAAAGGGCCGAATAGAGCAGGGGCTCTGTGTGCACCGGGGACAGAGTATGATATTGACCCTGCCCTCAAAGAGACGGAAGGTCATGGGTTCAATTCCAGACTCCCGCTTGCTGCTTGGAAAATCAGAACCAGCACCTTGAGGAGCTTTGGAGACTTAAATGGCAGTGAACCTGGAACCAGGGCAGCCTTCGGAAAACCTCCTCTGAATCCACAACCTAGTGGCATTTGGGATCAGCTACCGCAAGCATCAGGCTTCCTATATCCATACCCTTCGACAACCTTAGGCTGGCACAGGCAGAGTTGGGTACAATTTGGACAAAGTCTCGGACTGCTCAAAGCAATGTCTAGAATGATTCCCAAATCCGAGGCCATCCCAGCCCAGCTGCCGGTGCCCACAGAGAAAGGCCTTCAAATATCACAGCCAGTCCTTCCCGAGACCTAAAGCAAGTCCAGAGAAGAACCACCCATGCTCAGCCGTGCCTTAGCTATCCAGAGAGTCTTGCCTTGAGTCCAAAAGATGATCAGGCATGCACACAATGGTATTTTCAAAATCGTAGCCACACAATTTCCATGGAAGATGTAAGGAAGCCTCAGAAACCTCCCTGGCAGAAAAGGACATGGATCAGAATGTCGGGAACCTTCGGGAACCCTAAGGAAGAAAGCAGGCTGACTGTTTCTCACTCAAGGGAGAGTCTCAAGTCCAATGCGCCTTGTCACATGGACTTTTCCCTTCCATTCCAAATTTTTGTATAGTAACGTTCTGAGTTTGCTTGGTGGAATCAAGAAGGAGCTGTTCTGGTTCTCCACGGCTTTCACTGGAGTGTACTGAATGTGTGACCGCCCCCCGCCCCGGGGGGGGGCGGGCTGGGGCAGCCTGGGTGAGGTGGGCAACACGATAGAAACAGCCCCCACTTTCTGAAGACTCCCCCGTGCCAGGCTCTATGCCAAGCACCTCGAGGCCCTGGCCCATGCGAGCCTCACAACACCTCTACGACGCTACACTATGATGAACCCTCGTTTTGCAAACAGATCTCAGAGAGGTTAAGAAATATGTCCAAACCCGTCCAGCTAACGTGTGCGGGAGGAGGGATTCGGTCCGGGTCTGTCTGCCAGGCAGAGGCCGTGGGATCTGGGGTGACCCCTGCACTGCTCCGGGCCTGTTTTCTCATCCAGAAGCAGGGACAATGTGTCTGTCACGGGGCTCCTCCTGGGCACGAGTGAAGCTCTCGGCGCGACATGCCTCTGCCTTTGCCCCACAGCATGAGGACGCCACCACCCTGGGACATTCAGGCGTCGTGTCTTCTCTCTCAGGACAGGATGTCTTAGCTGGGCACTACTCATGTTTAGGAACAGGTCATTCTTTGTGGAGAGGGCCGGCCCGTGCCCTGCAGGGTGTCAGCAGCACCCCGGGCCTCGACACACGAGGCGCCAGGAGCACTCCCCCCAGTTATGGCAACCCAAACTGTCTCCAGACACTGTCCCAGGGTCGGGGGGGCGGCGGCAGAATCACCCCCAGGGTGATCACCATGGCCCGAGAAGGAGTCTGCCAGTGGCCCAGCATCGCCCAGCATCTAGTCCAAAGGCAGCAGAACACACACTACAACCTGGGTCTCTCCATTCCAGGCAGGGCTCAGCAATCGGCCACAACACATATTTGTGGGATGGAACCAAACTGAAGCCCTGTCAGCAGCTTCTGCCCAAAGCCATGGGCCAAAAAGGAGAAAGGCAGACCCAGACAGGCTGCAAACTCTCAAGCGCTGAAAATAAAGCTCTACCCTAAGCAAGGAACGGACTCGTAAGCACCTTGGAGCTTAACCAGGCCAGCAGGACCTATCTGGGGTGCTCAGGTGAAGATTAAGTGAATCAGCTTACCTTCTAGATAGCGAGATAATTAATTCTACATGAAAGTGGCCATGCTGCCCAGGCAGCCTAGAAGGGGGCTAGCTGGGGAACCTCTGTCTGAAAGGCCAAGAGGCAAAAGGCTCTGCATTTGGGGACAGGCCCCTGGGTGCCTGTGGCTGGTGCCCTGCAGGCAGGAACTGGGCAGACAATTTAAAAGCAGACTCACCACACCTCTGAAGGAAGGAGGGATTATGCCGCTGAAGAAAGGGATGAAGCTGGAACAGACCAAGGCCTGCGAAGACAAAAAGAAGTGAAACCAGAGGCCCAAACAGCCTGCCTTCTGATCTCCTGGGGGCCCGCATAAGCCTTCTTCAGATGAACAGAGCAACAGGCCTAAGATGCTCTTTGCAAAGGGGGCGCTTTAATAAACAAGCTGAACAAATGACGAACCAAACTACACACTTGTATTTCAGGCCTAAGTAAAAGCTCCTAATGACACTGTGGACATCAACTTCCTGTCCCTCTCCCCACAAGAGCTGCACTGGGCCCTTGCAGACGCCACCCAGAGGACCCAGAGTCGCTGACTGACTGGGAAGACACCAGAGCAGGGCTTTGCAAAAAAATTCATCGAGGGCGCCTGGGTGGCTCAGTTGGTTAAGCGACTGCCTTCGGCTCAGGTCATGATCCTGGAGTCCCGGGATCGAGTCCCGCATCGGGCTCCCTGCTCGGCAGGGAGTCTGCTTCTCCCTCTGACCCTCCTCCCTCTCATGTCCTCTGTCTCAAATAAATAAATAAAATCTTAAAAAAAAAAAAAAAAATTCATCAAATCGCCCAGAGGGCTGATCAACCACAGACTCCATGGCCCACCCCAGGATTCTGATTCAGCAGGCTGGTGGGGCCTGAGAGCCTGGAAGCCAGCGAAGTTTCTGGATGCTGCTGATGCTGTGGGTCCTGGCCGGGAAGCGGCGGGGGGGGGGGGGGGGAGGCAGGAAGCAAGACCCGCCCACTGAGAAAACCTACTCCTGCTGGAATGGATCAGCGCTGGCTATCTAGAAAAAGCTTTTGGAAACAAGCTTAAATAGAGGTGGACCGTGGCTGCTGAGATGCTCCTGGTTGTATGTGCTAGGAATATACATTGTGGGAGGAGGGACATATATGGGACAGGGTCTCTGGAGGAGGGGATCAGGAGCCAAGTCTTAAAGGACAGGGAGGTAGTATTTGAAACTGAAACCAACTAGGGCCATTCCGGGATATATACAGGTTATAGACCACCGACCACCGGATGCACACAGAGTGGTGCAGGAAGCAAACCAGCATCTGTGCAGCCAGGGTTTTTGCATCTTAAGAAATGACGCAGGTGGCCTACGGCAGCCCTCTCTGTGTTGCTTCCAAAAAGAAATAGCTTTTCTTACTTGACAAGGCCCAAATAAGCAAACTGCTTACGTCCACAACTTCGTCTTTGGACTGAAAATCAGACACCAGCACGTTTTCCCCATCAGACACCCTGGTGAGCGAAATGCACATTTTGCCAGAGATGAGCCTGTGGATATTGTCTGGGAGGTGTCTCTGAAGACTTTTTTGGATGTGCCTGCCCAAGATGAAGGAGGGGTGGAGGATGCCAATGCTCCGGCTCCTGGCACTCCGGACAAGGTCCCCAAGGATCTGCATGAGGAGGTCTGGAGGGCAGGAGACAAATACACAAAGGACTGTGCTACCCGGGAGATGGAAATGCTTTGTGGCAAGACCAGACACCAGGTGGCAAGGAAGCGGCCAGCCTTCTTCCAGGCCCACACTGATACAGAAGTCACGTGCGGCCATGGGTCCCTTCAAATGCGGCCATTCCCAACTGAGGTGTGTAAATGGCACACTGGAATTCAAAGGCTTCATAAAAAATAAAATAAAATAAAATATCTCCTTAATCATGTTTTATATTGATTAGATGTGAAAATGATAATGTTCCGGCTGTACTGGGATCAATGAAATTAATTTCACTTGTGTCTTTCACTTTTTTCAGTGTGGCTACTGGGAAATATTAAATGACACACACAGCTACACTATTTCTCCTGGACAGCGCTGCTCTGGGTCCCCGCCACAGGAAGGAGCCTCCCGAGGTGCCCAGGGGCGCTCTCTCTCCCCTCCATCCCCCAAAGCCAGAAGCGGAAATGCCTCAGCATCAGAGCTTTAGCACAAAGGACCTAACATTGCAGGAAGCAGAGACTCAGTGCAGGCTGGGGCCCAAGGGCAAGTCCACCTCCTACTAGCCAAGCGACCTCAGAAAGTCACTTCACTGCCCCTCGCCATCTCAGACTGTGCATTTTTAACTTTGGGGACAGAAGGGATTAGATTCGCTACCATCTGTAAGGTCCTCAACACAGCAAAGGCTTCTAATTAAGAACTAGACTTATCCTTAAGCATCTGACACCAGAATTACCACTGTCTAATGGGCATGGGCCACATTCATGCCCCATCAAGCCTCACTCATGGACCTGGACCCCCTCCGACTGATCTGCATTGCCCTACATGCAGGACCACCAGTCTCAGCCTGAGACCGAGCCCATCACAAATCCTGAGATGCAGAAGGGCAGCCATAAGCCAGCCTGTCTTGGAAGACCTCTGACCTCAACTCAACTCTCCCTGTGCGTGTGGCCCCACTGAGCCAGGGCAGAAGGGGCAAAGTTGCAGACAGCTGGCTCGTTCTGCCAGGCTTTCCTGCTGAGTACTTGGTGTGGAAGCACTCGCAGGAACTCTTTCCAAGTTGTGGCCCTAGGAAATGCTCCTCAGTGGTCCCCAAATGAGACAGGAGTTCAAAGCAGGGCTCCTGGAATTTGGGGAGTGGCTCCTACCAAAACCTCCAGACCCCACTTTCCAAGGACCTCGTGGTCCCCAAGCCTCCCCCTGCCCTACAGGGTACAGACCCAGGCTGCACATGTCCTCTGCCAGTTAGGAACCCTGTCTGTACTGGAGTCAGTGCAGGTGACCTTGACATACAAGGGCTGTCTTTTATTGCTGCCAAAGCCCAGAGTGTGCAGATCGGCCAGGGCCAGTCTGTTCCTCCCTGAGGCCACATCTCCTGCCCTTTGCTCTCCTCCCATCAGTGGAAAAGCCAGCCCAGCCAGGGCCTCTCTCCTAATCCCCACCTCCCAGCCAGCCCAGGGTCTGCTCACCGATCCTATCCAATCCTATCCAATCGCAGGGCTGCACCTACTGGCAGGGGGCTCCAGGCCATGCAGGAACAAAGTCACTCCCTGCTGGTGGAGTCCAACACATCAGTCCCCAGGGAAGAGCAGGGTAAATTGCTAAGGAAGCTGAACAGGGGTTGATGAGGCGCACTATCTTCCTGTCTGGGGGTCTTTGGGTGCCAACATCTCCAGCTGCCACTTGTCCCAGGTCCTGCCCCCTGGCTCAGAACCCCAGGCCACAACCCTGTTTGGGCCGTCTTGGTACAAGCCCCATATTGTCCCCTCCCACCACCACCCACATAGACAGATGTTTAATTTGCACAAGATTCAAATGCACAGACCTCATTTCCAGGGGCACTGAGCAGGGTGGGGTGGGGGGTAAGGATGGTATAAGGGGATGTCCAGAGATCCACTCCAGCCCCTAGGAAGGGTCTAGTACCCCCTCCAAGCCCCCCCCCCAACATTCCCCCGCCCCACCATGACCCTTCGACTCCAAACCAGTAAGCCTGCCCAGGAGGACTCCGAAGAGTTGCCCTCCCCCTGAAAGGCTATCCAGCTCCCTACCTCCCCCGTGTTGGGGGGCCGGGCGTGTCTCCAAACCCTGTAGTCGCCAGAGGGAAGACAGGGCCCGCCCAGGGACACAGGCCAATGCCCCCCTCCTGGTCCGACCCAGGGCAAATCGCCCAGCGCCTCGTGAGCTGATGGCAGGAACCTCAGGGACCAGCTCCACCCTGGGCCCCCTGGGTCCTGCTCCCTCCTCCGCGTTGCTCCGTTTGAGCTCACTCTCGGTCCCGGGGCGAGGGGCTTCCTGCAGGCCCAGGCGCCAGAGCCGGGTTGGAGTGCGGATACGCTCGGGGTTCCCACACCCAGAAGAGCCAAGCCCAGGCGCACCCCCCTCCCAGGCTGGCGACAGAGAAGCCCCGGCGCCGGGCGAGAGGACGCGGCGGAGGTAGCGTCTGTCTGGGGACGGGCCCCCCCGGGACGCTCCCCGCGGTGTCCGTTGTCCCATCCCAGCTCCGCGCGGCGCCCCGGCGGCGGCCCCGGACGTACCCAGCGGGGCCCCGGAGAGAAAGAAGACGCCGTGCAGCGCCCCGGCCGAGGAGCCGAACAGCATGCGCGCGTCGCGGATGAGGTGCGGGGCGCGCTCGGTCAGGCAGCGGGTCGCCCCGACGTGGTAGGTGCCCAGGAAGCCGCATCCCGAGAAGGACAGGCTCCATCCGCGCTCGGGGTCGTACATAGCGGCGGCGCGGCGGGGGTCTCGGCTCCGGGGCTCGCGGAGGGAGTCGGCCGCGCGGCGGCCCTCGCGGGGGACGCGCGTCCGGGTCGGGGCCTGGGGACCGCGCCGCACCGCTCGGCGCCCGAGCGCGCTCTCCGCCCGGCCTCCGCGCCGCCGCTCAGGCCCTCCCTGCGTGACGTCAGCCGGCAGCCCCGCCCCCTCGGGCCAGGCCGACGAGCCTCCGGCCGCCCAATGAGCACCGGGCCCCCCCGCCTCCATCGCCGCGGGGTTCTGCGAGGGGCCTGGGGCCGGGGCGGAGGGGAGAAGAGGACCTTGCCCCCAGGTGGGAGTTGGAGAGCAATTGTCCATCCCCCAGACGGACAGCTCCCTTTCGGTTCCTTGTCGTCCCTGAGTCAGGGAGAAAGCGAAGGTTGCCCTCTTAGGTCCTTAATATCCTTTGACACGATCCTTTCCCTTTTCATACAGGGCAGCAAAACCTTAAGCAGGCACCGGAATCTAAATAGAATCGATGGCTTTGCCTGATTTTCCTGCAGTTTTCTGTAAGATGGCTTCCACGTGGGGCAAGTGGTAAAGATAGTGATATGAAGTTTCCATTTCAAAGTTTCACTTATAAGTAAAAATTGGGAATAACTGGTGTGGGGGTGGGGGCGGTGCAGGACCGTGGGAGTCTGGCAGGCTGGGGCTTAAATCCTGGCTGGGGCCCTTAGGAAGGTGAAGTGCCTAAGTTGTCCCTTGGCCTGTGTGCACCGCACAGAGCATTTCCACGGCAGCCTGGGCAAGGAGGTTGGCTGTCTGTCCAGAGTTACACAGCCAGAAATCTGGGTCTCCTGGGCCATCCTACTTCCTGTTGATGTGGACAGAGAAACCCTCTCCCTCTTCCACAAAGGCCTGGGTGTGGGCTTTGGAATCAGGCCTCCCCCTTTCTGTGCCTCAGGGTCCTCATCTGAAAATGACAGAGTTGCAGTCAGGATTCAAAATGTCACCTGTGCGGCACCTGGACACATGGGTTGTGCATGACCTCCCCACCTGCAAAGCTTCCCAAGTCCGAGGCATCCCCTGCTGTTGCTGAGCCTGTGCCCACAGGGATGGATGGGGAACTGGGAACAGGGCAGAGAATTGCCCAGTATGCTCATATCCAGCTGGGGTCAGACAAGGTGATGCCCCACCTTCTTGTTCAGTTTCCCTGCTGTAAACAAGTGTCCTTCTTGTGATCTGCTGATTGATTTCACATTGTTGCGCTCTGTTGGTGATATTGCTATTTAAAATGGCCCTGTGGGGGCGCCTGGGTGGCTCAGTTGGTTAGGCGACTGCCTTCTGCTCAGGTCATGATCCCAGGGTCCTGGGATCGAGTCCCACGTCAGGCTACTTGTTCAGCAGAGAGCCTGCTTCTCCCTCTCCCTCTGCCTGCCGCCCCCCGCCCCCCGCTTGTGCTCACTCACTCTTGCTCTCTCTTTCTGTCAAATAAGTAAATAAAATCTTTTAAAAAATAAAATAAAATGGCCCCACGCATAGTACTGAAGGGCTGTCTGGTGTTCTGAAGTGCAAGAAGGCTGTGTCCACCTTACAGAAAAAATACCGGTATTAGATACACATTATCCAGGCACAGTGCTGGTGGCCGTGAGTTCAGTGTGAATGAGTCACCAAGATATATCGAGTAAGGTGTTTTTAAACAGAAAACACACATAACTGAAGGTTATGTATCGATCCGTTGACAAAAGTGCTGTGACAGGAGGCCCACAGGAGTTTCACCCCGTATTTCCAATAGGAACAACGATTCAGAGGTCACTCGTTGAGCACGATAAGCATAATTCTCAGTGATACAACCACATGAATAATGAGGACCGACTATATGTCCCCTGACTTCCATGAAGGGGAGCAGGTACGTTCTGTGGGCTCCAGAGTTTCTTTCCCCCATAGAACCCGAAGCACAGAGTTGCCTGCTCTGGGTGTGTTTGCTCAGTCCACTCAACGCCTCCCTGCAAAGCTGGGTAACATAAGGGCAGGCATCTTTCACCCAGTTACCAATCTGGAGACTGAGCCAGAGGGAGGCCTTGGCTTCTCCACCAAGGCAGGTGTCCTGATCCTTGCATTGTCCTTCCCTTAACGCCCCTGGCTTGCTTCTGACCCTTCTGCCTCCATACTCATGCTTGACATTTCCTAACCACCGATGGCCAAGTTAGGCTACTCTGACCAGTGCTGTGTCAGCCTCCTGTCACCTCTCAGCCCCCACCCTGGGCTCAATCTCCCAGCTCTGGCTATAATTCACTCTTTTCCTCCTCCTCCTCCTCCTCCTCCCCCTCCTCCCCTTCCTTCTCCTTCTTCTTCTTCGTAATAAAATATACAGAACATAAAATTCACCATTTCAATAATTTTTAAATGTACAGTTCAGTGGCACTACTAAGTGCATTCACAATGTGTGTCACCATCACTGCCATCCATTTAGAGCTTTTTCATCTCATAGAATAGAAGCTCTGTCCCCATTAAATATTCCGTCTTCCATTCCCCCACAGCCCCTGGCATCCGTCATTTTACTTTCCGTTTCTCTGGGTTTGGCTCCTCTGGGGACCTCAGAGAAGTGGAATCACACAGTATTTGTCCATTTGTGACTGGTTTGTTTCACTGAGCACCATGCCCTCAAGGTTCGACCGTGTTGGAGCAGATGTCAGAATCCCCTTCCTGTTAGAGGCTGAATCGTTTCCCATTGTATGTATTGATGGGGTTCAGGACGCACTGCCCCAAAATATAGCATCTTGGCATATTGAATTTTTTTACGCTGAGGGAATTTCAGAAATGGCAGGTACAGGAAGGACCCTGACCCTCCCCTGAAGTGGGTCATAGCCACACATGTGAGAGCTGCCTTCTCTATGCCCAGAGGAGAGGAGGATACTTCTCTCCAAAGATGCAGGGACAGAGAGGAACCTGAACCAATGGGCTTTGCTAAGTTTCCACCCATGTTCACTACACTCACCACCTACATTTTGTCCTCCCATATTTTCCCCCGACTTTCCACTTTTCATTAAACTGAGCATAAAAACACTCAGGTTGAACCTTTTCTTTGGGTCTTCATTTCTTTATGAAGGCTCCTGTGTCACATACCTTATATTAATACATTTCTAGGCTTCTCTCATAAACCCGTCCCCGTCAAGAACTTAAAAGAACAAAAGATCTTTCGCCCGCCTTCAGTACATTGCATGTATGCTCATCGTTCACGTGATTCACTTCTGCATCTCTGAATAAACATCTCTCCTGCTCCATCCTGGTCTCAGGACCCCACTCTTCAACACTGGTCCTCGGGGGTGATTTTCAGGTTTGTCCCATCCCCAAAACAGGACCCAGGATGTCCTGGGTCATGCATGCATCTTCTCTGATTGTCCTGGCTCCTGGGGAACAGAACCGCTCTCCCTGGCAGTGCTGAGAGAGCATGGAATCGGCTCTGGAGGACTTGGGTAACACTGAGGGTCTAGTCACTGAGCTGTGGAGAAGTCAGATGGACACTCCCTGCCATACGCCAGAGGCTACATTGGACCAGCATCGTCCACCTGCCAGAGAGGATAGCCTGACTCCTGCTCAGGCAGCATGCCCCCCAGCCAGCCTGATGGCGTTTGTTGAAAGATCAAGTAAATGAATGAATGAGTGAATGAATGAAGGAGTAAATGAAAGCTAAAGTGCTACCCTTTCCCCTTACCTGGCCAAACATGGATGCTCTTCCAAACTTAACCACCTTTACAGACCTACACATTTTCTTAACTATTCTTTAGTAGATTAGGTGTGGCCCTCGATGGGTTCCTCCCGAAGCCGACCCAGAGGCCAGGATTCCAGTTCAAAGTGATCCCAGGAGACACTGGAAAGAGAGGAGGCCGGGTCTTAGAGGCAGGAGACTACTATGGGCTCGCTCCCACTGGGGTCCTTGGACAGAAACAACACACCATGGGGAGCAGGTGGGAGATTTTTTTAAAGGGCGCAGCGAAAGGAAATAATTAGCAAAGAACACATTGTTTCAGGCAAGGTCACCCTTCTCAGGGAAGTGGGAAGGTGTGGAATGGACAGATCACCTCACTGGCACTGACCAGGTAATACCAGCTTAACTTGTTCAAGTTTACGTTCCTGGGAGAGGCTGAAACTGAAATTAGCTTAGGTATTAAGTCTTGGTTTTGGTGACTTAGCACAAATGAGTCCATGTTGAGCTTGTTATTTCTTCTTAATGCTGGGCTGGGGGTGAGGCACCAGGGAAGGCTGGAGCATTGGTGCCCTAACGACAGATAGGGTCAGACGGAAGAGCCTTGTGATCAAGAGGGAGAGGGGCGAACTGGGCAAAAGGGGTTGGCAAGTTCAAGACCAGGCAAAAGGTCTCCAAGGCTGGAGGGTGGTGAGAGAAGGGGAGGGGGAAGGAAGGGGGATGCCCCTGGGAGGGCCCACTAAGGAGTCGACATTCTGTTCTTGCGGCAATGGAAAGCTGAGAATTTAGGCAGGGTAGTGATGGTCCTGTTTACAGATTAGGAAGACCCACCTGGAATCTAACCCCCCCCCCCAGGTAGAATTCAGCAGGCTGAATTCTGAGATGGGAAAGAATGACACCCTCATTCTCACTGCCTCTAATTGCAATTTAGTATTTCCTTCAGACACAAATGTAGGGAAGAAACTATATAGTAGTAGTATTAGAATTACCTGTGACTTTGTTCCTAATAGAAATCACAGATGTTTTTATATCCAACTTACGGTTGTAGAGCTCAAGATAATATTTAGGCTCATTACTTTGAAATTACGGTGTCTGAAATGGACCCCCCCCCATGTGAGGTCTTATTTAATGTACCAGAACACACTGCCTCCCAGCCCTGTCCAAAGCCAATGGACCCCAGGGAACCTTCCTCCTCCCACTGAGTCCTCTTCTCTAAGAGCTGTCCAGCAATGTCCTCACAGCGCTGGTGAGTGCTCGGCTGGGGAGATGACGGAGCAGCCCCACCTCCCACCTTCTCTGGCCAGAGCAAGGGGGCAGGGCTGGCATGGGGGGCACTACCGACTGTCCACGCAAGGCCACTCATCAAGAAGAACCAGCCAAGCTCAAGCTGGCGCCCTTTGGGACAAAGGCTCAGGTCAGCCTGTGGCCCCTTCCCCATCATTTGCTGTCTCCTGGGTGTTTATGAGGCAACACCAGAGCCACAAAACCATGTCCTCTTCGACAATCTAGTGCAGACCTAGGATGCCAGCGACTGTATCTTCCATTCCCCCCACCACGCTCCATACATCCCAGCAGGTGCTTGCTGCCTGCCTGGCTCCTGCTGCATTCCAGGGTCCCACTTGGGCTGGACCCAGTCCACACTTCCCTCC